AAAAAGCACAAATTCCAAATTTCTCCAAATTACAGTAGAATATCCATGACATCAATACAAGACTATTATTCTATAGAATCCAAATCAAATCACGTCCTGATATTTTTCTATTCAATTAAAATCGCGTAGAATCAATTCCGACCGGTAAAATCATCGCAGAATATACTCAAATCGTGTACAATATTCATATCTATAACATTCTAAAAGTTGTGCGGTGAAAGTTGTGTCAATACAAAACCGGGTCAAAAGTTCGACTATGAAAATACAAAACAGTGCACAACTCGGTCAAAACTCAATATCTCTGAAAACAGAAATAGGATTCGGAGTCCTTACCACGAGATCTACACTTTCTCCAACAGCAGCGTTAGAAGAAAAGCGCTCCGCGGCCTCCGAAACCCAAGATTTTCTTTACTTTTCTTTCTCTTTCTCTCTCTTCAAAATCAGATATTTTATAAAAATGATTTTCTCTCTCCTCGAAACGAGCTGATTTCCTTATAACCTTAGTCTGATCGGCCCGGCCGATCGCCACATCGTCCTGGCCGATCAGAACAAAAACCAATCGGCCCTGGACGATTTCTCAGGACGATGCTCTCGGGATTCTTATCGTATCTGATCGTCCCAGGACGATCCAGTCCAGAAATCACTCCAGAAATCATTCCAAAAATCAATCGTTTTCAATGCACTAATCGGCCTGGCCGATCTCAACATCGTCCCGGCCGATCCTGGGAGGAAAATCCAATTTAGAGAGGAACAGTAAAGGAACGAGATCTCACAGTTTACAACTTTTGTTCGAATGATGGATGATAAACAGCCAAAAACAATATATACAGATCAAGACCAGGCAATAGCTAGGGCCATAGAAGTTGCACTACCTCAAAGTCGCCATAGATTGTGCTAATGGCATATCTGTAAGAAGACTCCATCAAAAGTATCATACTACAATACCAACAACAAAGTCAAAGGCCTCTTCAATAAGTGTTTGAGCAGATGTGACTCTGAGGAGGAGTTTGAAAATGCATGGGCTGAATTGATCATACAAGGGAACCTCTAAGATCATGTTTGGTTGTAGGATCTTTATAGGATAAGAAATAAGTGGTCAACAGCCTTCAATAAGTATTGTTTTAGCATGGATATTCTATCCACACAACGTAGCGAGTCTACTAATAATGTGTGTCATGGCATCTCTAAGCCCACAAGTTCTATAACTGATTGCTTTCTGGGTTTAGAGAAGGTGATGAGGAATTGGCGCCGGAATGAATAGGATGAGGATTATAGATGCAGCCAATCTGAAATAGAGCCTGTAATAAAAAACTGCTCAATATTAAAGCAAGATGCTCAATTTTATTCAAAGAAAATATATTCATTTTTTGAACAAGAATTTTTATAAAGTGTTGGTGTAATGAGTGTAGAGCTTGAGTCTAGTGATTCTTCAAAATTTTTTGTCTATTACACAGAGAAAAAGGATCGCTCTAAACCATGGGTTGTTGATTTTGATGCACAGAATGGTAACATTCAATGCTCCTGCAGAAAGTTTGAAATGATGGGTTTATTGTGTTCTCACTGCATAATAGTTTTGAGGCAAATGGCTATTGGGAAAATCCCCGAGAAGTACCTACTGTTGCGATGGTCAGCACGAGCTCGACAAGATATATATATTCTGGTCTGAATTTGAAAGAAAATTCTCATAATAGCTCTGAAGCTAGTAATGGATTCATATTCAGAAATTATATCAGCAGGTTTGCATATGAAATGAGCACACGAGCGCAGCTGAATGAGGGTGGTGAAGAATTCATATTCACTGCGATGA